CGGAACCGGCACCCGACCCGCCGCAGGAGAAAGAGGAGAAAGATGACCCGTGGGGTTTCGGCACTGCGACTACAAAGAAAGAAAAGAAGAAGAAGAAAGCCAGTATTTGGGATGCGGTGGAAGAAGATAAGGCTCCTGAACCAGCCAAGGAGGAGACACCTGCAGACGACCCATGGGGTTCGTGGGGCGGTACCACCAAGAAGGGGAAGAAGGACGACCCTCCCAAAGAAGAGCCGAAAGACGACCTGTGGGATACCTGGGGACTTGGTAAGAAGAAGAAGAACAAGGACGAGCCGGCCCCTGAACCAATCCCTGAGCCGGCGCCCGATCCGCCTGCCTCTAACGAGGATCCTTGGAGCTGGGGAACATTATCGGGGAAGAAGAAGAAGAAAGGTCTAGTCGACCTTGAACCTGAACCTCCCCCGGTGGTAGAACCAGAGCCGGAACCCACCCCGCCGCCAGAACCCGAGCCAGAGCCCGTTGATCCTTTCGCAGGCTTGACCAATTCACAGAAGAAGAAAAAGAAGAAAGAGATGGCTGCCGCCGCTGCTGCTGCCGAAGCAGAGGCCGCCGCCGCCGCCGAAGCGGAAGAGGCTGCCCGAAAGGAAGAGGAGGAACGACTAGCAAAAGAGGCTGAAGAGCAAGCTGCTAAAGAAGCAGCAGAAGCTGAAGAGGCGGCGAAAGCAGCGGAAGCCGCCAAAGCAGCTGCTGCGGACGACTTTGGATGGGGTGTATCAACTAAAACCAGCAAGAAGAAGAAGAAGGGCAAAGCTGAACCAGAGCCCGAACCGGTTCCTCCTCCACCCCCTCCAGCCCCTGAACCAGAGCCTGAGCCAGAGAAAAAGGACGACCCATGGGGCTTTGGTACCGTGACATCCAAAAAGGACAAGAAAAAGAAGAAGGGCCTTCTTGCCGAACCTGAACCCCCCAAGGAACCGGAACCTGAACCCGAGCCGGAGCCAGTACCGGAGCCGGAGCCTGAACCGGAGAAGCCAGCAGAAGATGACTTTTGGGCCACTTTGACAGGATCCAAAAAGGACAAGAAGAAGAAGAAGGCAAAGACTGCCGATCCCGAGCCGGAACCCATTCCTGAACCTGCGCCCGAGCCTCCTGCTGCTGATCCAGAGCCAGAGCCACCAGCGGACGACGACTGGGCAAGCTTCGGCCTTTCCAAGAAGGACAAAAAGAAGAAGAAGGGCAAATCAACGGACCCCGAACCCGAACCAGAGATTGTACCAGAACCAGCGCCTGATCCCCCAGCCGAGGAAGCGGAGCCGGAACCTGAAAAGAAGGATGACGACGACTTCTGGGCCGCTGCTACTAGTTCGAAGAAGGACAAGAAGAAGAAGAAGGAGGCCGAAGCTGAAAAATCCAAAGACGACTCTTGGGGCATCTGGGGCCTTTCCTCCAAGAAAGACAAGGAGAAGGAGAAGGAGAAGGACAAAGACAAGGAGAAGGAAAAGAAGAAGAAGAGCAAGGAGGCCGATAAGGAAGCTGAGGAACCGAAGGCTGAAGTGGTCGAAGAGGATGAATGGGCCGGCTTGAGCAAGTCGGACAAGAAGAAGAAGAAGAAAGATGCCATGGCCTTGGTTGAGTTTGGCGGAGAGGACGAGCCTACACCTGCCGAGGAAGCCCCTCCTGCCGTGCCAGATATTGCCGACCCCCTGGATGGCGGCGGCTTCTTCAGCTCATGGAACATCGGCGGTAAGAAAGACAAGAAGAAGAAGGGAGCCGACACCGACGAAGGCGCTTCTATGAAGCCCGATGCAATCGAGGAGCCCACAGATGACATCTGGGGAACCTCGTCCTCCAAGAAGAAGAAGGACAAATCCAAGAACGAGCCCATTGAAGTCGTGGACGAGGAGCCCAACGTGGATTCCGTACAACCGGATTCCGTCGAGGAGACCAAAGACGACGATGACTGGGCCGGCTGGGGATCCTCCAAGAAGAAGTCTAAGAACCGTAAGGACATACTCGCCGACCCTCCACCGGAAGCTCCCACCCCTCCCTCATTGGACATGGCTGAGCCTGTAGCAGAAGCAGAACCTGAGAAAGAGAAATCCAGCTTTTGGGGCGACATGACCTCTTCCAAGTCTAAGTCCAAGGATAAGGATAAAGATAAGGAAAAGGAGAAGTCCAAGAAAGAGCCCAAGCTGAGCGAGAAGGAGCTCAAGAAGCTCGAGAAAGAAAAGAAGAAGGCTGAAAAGGAAGAGGCAGCGCGGTTAGCCAAAGAAGAAGAGGAGGCTGCCGCCGCCGCTGCTGAGGCCGCTGCCAAGGAAGAGGAAGAACGCCTTGCACAAGAAGCAGAGGAGGCCGCGGCGGCGGAAGCGGCTGAGGCGGCCGAGAAGGCACGAATCGAGGAAGAGGAGGCTGCAAAGATTGCGGACGAGGAGGAGCAGTTCGCCGCCTTGGAGGCCAAGAAGCTCAAGAAGGGCAAGTTGACCAAGAAGGACCAGGGTGTTTACGACACGCTCAAGGCATCGATCGACGAGCGCGCTGCCGCATCCCAAGCTGCTGCGGATGCCGAAGCCGCCGCCGCCGCCGAAGCTGAAGAAGCCGCTCGCATCGAAGAGGAAGAGCGACTCGCCAAGGAAGCCGAAGAAGCTGCTGCCAAGGAAGCCGAGGAGGAAGCTGAAGCAGCGGAGAAGAAAGCGAAGAAAAGCTCCAAGTCGGAGAAGGAGTCCAAGTCCAAGTCGAAGAAAGACAAGGAGAAAGAAAAGGAGAAAGAGAAGGAGAAGGAGAAAGAGAAGGAAAAGAAGGAGAAGAAGGACAAGAAGGACAAGAAAAGCAAGGACAAGGAGAAGGAGAAGGAAGAGGAGCCGGAGCCGGCACCAGTCGAGGACGTCGATAATGAGGACGAGCTGGCCGACATTGAGCTGACCGAGGACCAAATCGAGGAGCTCCTGGCCGATCCCGAGCCTGAGGAAGCTGCTCCTCCTCCACCACCCCCGGCGCCGGAAGTAAAGCCATCCAACGATGCCTTCAGTTTCTGGGGCGTTGGCACTAAGAAGTCGAAGAAAGGTATGTGGCCTCAGGCTCGCAGCCAATCTCCCTTCACACCACCACACCACCAAGTCTCACCAAGCCTATTGGAAATGAGACGCCTCAATAGGCGTCACCTGAAATTACACTGCTGACTCATCTCCGCATAGGTCTAGAAGGTGCGAATCTCGGTTGGAATGACACGACTACATCATCCGCCACAAACAACGATGCCCTGTCCTGGATGCAACCGTCTACGGCTCGAAAGGGCAAAGGAAGCAAGATTACTGACAGATTAAAAGCGTTTGAACCGATCCCGCCGCCAGAAGACGAACCTGAGCTCGTTGTAGAGGAACCTGTTCCCGAGGAGCCAGCACCAGAAGAGCCGGTCCCGGAGGACCCTCCACCCGAGGAACCGGAACCCGCACCACCAACTCCTCCCCCCGTCGTCTTGTCGAAGGAAGAGAGAAAGCGACTGAAGAAGGAGAAGAAGCGCGCTGCCGAAGCTGCATCCGCGCCTCCGCCGCCACCGCCTCCTCCTGTTGTCGAGGAGCCACCGTTAGTCGATGTTGAAGAACCAGCTGACGAGAACAAGTCTTCGGAGCCGCCTGGAGCTTTCCCCGTCGAAGAGGATGAAAACGAGATCATCGAAGTGATTGAAATGCCAGTGGAGAAGAAGAAAAAGAAGAGTAAGAAGAACAGAGATAGGGACATACTCGCCGAGGAAGTCCCTCCTCCACCAGCTCCACCACCGCCTCCGGCCGTCCCTGAGGCTCCTGAAGACCCTGTGCCTGAGGAAGAACCCGCCGCCGAGGAAGAGCCCATCTCACCTCCGCCTGAGCCGAAGTCGAGCAAGAAGGACCGGGCAAAAATCAACCGAGAAGGTTCCTCGTGGGGTATGTGGTCGGCTTCACCTCGCGAGAAGGAGAGAGACCGTGATCGTGATCGCGACCGCGAACGTGACCGCGACAGAGACCGGAAATCCAAGTCAAAATCCGAAAGACGCGAAAAGAAACACGCTTACGGCGACGAGGAAAAAGTCAAGACTTCCTCCAAGGGTTCAAGCTCCGGCAAGGGCGACCGTGCCGATAGAGACGTTGAGACACCAGCACGGCCGAAACTCATGTCGATGTTCAGCACCCCGCCCATTTCCCGGACGACATCCACCCGGGACCGGCGACACAGACCGTCCCGTCGTCATTCAGTCGACGCGAGCGGGTTGGTGTCGCCACCTCCCGAGGAAGCCCCTCCACCTCCCATGTCCTCCAAAGCCGCCAAAGTGCTTGGAGTCGACAAGTCCAGCAGCAGGCGCCGCAAGCGCGATCATATTGTGGACGAAGACATTGTCATGGTCGGCGCCAATGGTGACGGCGAGGACGGCAGCCCTCCCAAGTCATCACGTCGACGATCTAGATATGCTAAAGACGATGACCTTGTCATGGTGGACCCCGATGGCCCTTCCGAGCCACCACCGATGAAACGATCCAGCTCGAGTGCGAAGAAGGGTCTAGGAGGCCTCTTCAGTGGCCTCAGAACACCCAAGACGGAGCGTCCGGACCCGTTGCGAAGGCGACACACCTATGCGACCGATGATGACACCAGGCGCGAACGCCGTCAACGATCCCATGCCGATGCAGACGAAGCTGACCCCGCAGCGATGACCGACATGGACCAAGAGGCTCGCCGCGCTGCTCGCCGTGCTCGTCGCGCAGCCAGAAATGCTGAGGCGGCCGAGGCCGAGGTCGTCGAGCCGGATCCCGAAGAGGCACGCCGCGCCGCCAAAGAAGAGGCTCGGCGCGAGCGCCACCGTAGGAGAGACGAAGAGGATGCCGAAGCGCGCAAGCAGCAGGAGAAAGAGCTCAGACGTGCAGAGCGGCGCGCGGCTCGCTCTCGCGGGCACCGTGACCAACGCGAGGAAGAGGAACGGAGAATGGCCGAAGATAGGGAGGCTGAGCGTGCCGAACGGCGAAGAGCACGGAAGCAGCGCGAGGCCGCCGCGGCAGCGGAGGCTGACGCAGATGCTAGACGCGCAGCTCGGGAAGAACGCCGACGAGCCCGCGAGGCTCGCGATCGCGAAGCGGCGCCGCCGCCGCCGCCGATGGACGAAGAAGAAGCCCGCAGAGCCAGGAAGGAAGCCAGGCGTGCTGCGCGTGCCGCGGCCGAAGGCACCGACGCGGAAGAGATGTATCACCACCGCTCCAGCCGGCGAACCCGGGAGTCCGGGGACGAAGGCATGCACTCCTCGCGACACCGATACAGACGCAACGAGGAGTCAAAGCCGGCGTGGCCCCACTCCGGAACGTCATCGTGGGTCAAGGAGCACACCGACGCCGGCCCGCCTCCGGACGATGGCGGACAACAGACGGACGCCGTGCCCCAGACCGAAGATGAGGCACGTCGTGAGCGGCGCGAGCGCCGTCGCAGGGCCAGGTACGAGGACGGTACTGCCGACGAGGCCGATGATCGCCGCCGCAGAGCCCGGCGCGAAGAGCGTGAGCGTCGGACGTACGGCGGTAGCGGGGGTGCCGGAGGCGGCGGCGGCTCCGAGGGGAGCGACGAGCGGCGTCGGCAGGCCATGTTTTCCGATGCGACGGCTACGCCGCGGAGTAGCTGGTGGAGAAAGCTGACCGGTTGAAGAGACACGCACAACACACACAAAGAGAGAAGAGAGAGAGGGCGAAAACTACGACAAAATGACGTGTATGAATGGATGTCAGCGAAGCGTTGTGCAATTTCCTTATTTTCCTCTCTTCCAACCCCCTTTTGTCGGATGGGGACACCACGTATGTTTTGATTCTTGTTTGAGAAAATGTTGTTTTGCTACATGAAAGAAAAACCATCTACGATATGTTTGACATATACCCCCCTACCAAATACGCATACTAAAATTTTTGACTGCAATACTATGTTACTGAAGGGAACGTTGGAAATAGTTGACGAGTACTATTTCCATGTAAAGGCATCGCCTCCAAGCGGCCACGGAGAGAGAAGTCTTGGATACGAGCACGAATAGCATGGGCATAGGTAGCATAGCATAAGCATAGCACACACACACATATATATACATCTTTTGAGCACCATGAAAGTATGAAACTGAGGAATGAACGTTGAGAATGCATCAAGAACCCATGTCTCTCTTTACTTTGCTCCAAGCCAGCGTGTACAAACTATCTCCCAAGAGATCGTGATACCTTCCCTTACACCCAGCACCGACCGAACCCTGGAAGCGGGCATCACAAAGCACCCCAATCTACAACGCGGAGGCGGGCATACATCCGTGCAAAAGACATCGACCTCGGCCAAACTGTACGCGTCTGTTCGCCGGGAGCCAAAGATGCCCCTCCCGAGATGCACGGAAGATCGGGCCTTCTGTCATAGCGTCGGAAGCAAGACCAAAATAAGCCAGCGGCAAAACGGGCAAAAACTGTGAGAATGAAACTCTCTGCACTCTTTCTGGTGCTTACGTACAATCATCGGGAGGCCTCCTGGGTTGTTATACGGAACTAGGCATTACTATATGGTACTATGGAGTATGGTAGATGTAGGGTATATGCGGGCGCCCAATGGCTCACCCACGGCCCGCACGTGAGCGTGGAAACGCACTCAGGCTTTTTTGGGCGTGTGCTTAGAGGCAAGGGGGCAAATGTCTTTCTCTAGATCGGACATCAAATCGAACAAGGAAGGAAAAGAACAAACTGGTTGCTCAGCGCAACCCAGTCAACTTCAGTAGATCATGTTGATGGAAGTAAGCGCGGATGCGTTTGCCATAGAAATCTACAAGTAATTAGCTCTCTGTTTCGTACGGCGTGACTGATCGGCGACTTACACATTGGTATACTCGTGGCACAAACAACAACCTGAATACTGGCAATGGCCATCATTGTAGGCTTGATACCACCCCCGATGATCCAATCATAGGCACTGAATGTAAGACCAAAGCTGAAGATGTTCTTGAAAATGATCATGATAGTGAAGCCTTCGATGGCCAGGTCGCGGTAGGCATCGACGATGTATAGAGAGCTAGCCACAGCCCCGATGACCATACCAGCAACCTCGAAGCCGAAGAATACGAGCGGGATGCTGTAGTGGTATTCCCTGGCTGAAAGCCCAGCAGATGTGACGCCGAACCCATAGAGGCCAATAGAACCAATAATGAACATGGGCAGAACCATGACAATACGGAATTCGGGTTCGTAGATGCCATTGTTGCGACGAGTCAAGAACTTGGCACTCCAGTCGGAGAAAGCGCCAGCAATGATGAAGCCAACGAGCGCTCCCACGAAAGCACCAACGTAGGCGTATCCAGCGTATACCTCATTCCAGTAGTAAGGAGGCCCCAGGAAGAGGGCAGCAACAATGACACCGATGAAGACTGTCCAACCAATCATGGTGCCTTGAATTAGACATCCCCATAGAAAGGCGGGCTGAGCGATGAGCGGGAACGGGCGAAGAAGCAGTTTCCAGTAGTGCTCGTCCGTCTTGCGACCATCAAATAAAGCCAGCGATTGAATAAATGTCTTCTTCGGAGTTTGAGCTCCCGCTCCTCGGACAGCCTCCAGGCCTGATCCATAGGGCGCTGACGTAGGGTTCAGCTTCTCGTGGTCGCTGGACCTGCTGCCCGGGCCGCCAACATAAGATGCCTTGTTGTCAGTGAGTTCGATAGAGTCAGCAACCATATCCGTGTTGAGCGCAATGTCCCGACGGTAGGCTGTCTCAGGGCAAAGAAAGAAGACGGCGGGAAGGCACACGGCACAAAAGATGGCCTCCAAATAAAACGTCCACCACCACCCAATGCTGTGAGTGATCTTGCCAACAACAATGGGAGTGAAGAAGGCGCCGCCAAACACTGCCAAGTTCGTAAAGGCCATGCGGGAGCCGCGCTGGTGTACAAAGTAAAGATCACCGACGGCAGCATTTACGAGTGTCTCGAAGGGAGTACAGCCGATACCTTGGACAATGCGCGCACCAAGTAGCGAGTTGTAGCTCGTGCCAACAGAGCCCGCCCACGCAGAAGAGGCAACGAGGATGCATATTCCGAGAATGAAGAGATGGCGCTTGCCCCAGACTCGGGCAGAAGGCACAAAGAAGATGGCTGCGGCACCAACTCCGAGAAGGAAGTATCCGGTCAAAAGTGCGATGCGGGTGAAGCTAGTACGGAACAGAAGGGCAATCGTAACAGTATTCGCCGCGAGAATAGGGCCGAGCGCGGTCGCGAAGATGGCGGTCATGGAGAGAACAAAGGTGATGAGGTCTCGCTTCCAAAGGGGCCAGTTCAGGGGATCGTTGGGGTCATCGGATGGTTGAGGAACCTGGTGGGCTTGTTGTCAGCTGGAGGTTCACAGACTATGTCGCAGAAGCTATCCCGTCGGCTGCTCACCAGAATGATGGGCACATCGCCGCTCGCGTCGACTTTCAGTCCGTGGTGAGAATCGTTCGCTGTCTGGGGACGGTTTGGATCATCGAAGTAGCGCGTCGTCCCTGGAGTTTTGACGGTCGTCAGCGATGGGATGACAGGAGGACAATGCGGGCAGAGCGTTGAGAAGAAGCCGCGCGGGGACGCGGGCGGCCGGCAGGCGTGCAAGACAACTCACCTGGGACATTGTCCAAAGTCCTGGACTCGAGAATGCCCAGACCCATGATGGCAGAATGTTGGAGGTTCCAGATGCTTGTATGAGCAGCGTGGACGTTGCAGGTCTCACGACATGATAAGGCTGAGAAGGAGTAGAGCCAGGCACAACCGAGTCGGTCTGGCGCAGGGCGGTTGTCGTGGTAGTCGGGAAGAAGAACCTGGAGAGAGGGGGCCCGGTGAAGTGACCTCGTTCAATAAAAAAAGGCTAACCGTTCTAGGTTTCCGTGTCTCTCGCCTCTCCTCATCTCCTTGCCTCCTTCCCCCAGCTATGGTGTGACCTTGAACATAGGTGTGGAGTCACCCGTGAAGGAGGTACCTTTCCTAGCTTCCCTGACCGGCACTTTGCTCTTGTCTTCGGCAGCTACGGGCTTGGGGTGTTGGGATACGACGCAGGGGTACCCAGCAGTGCTTGCCCATTTTTTGTGGCTCATTAAACCTTAAAGAAAGAGCTTGTCGGATGCTGTGGATGCAGTTCAAGAGTTTCGGCCAGGTCCCCCTACAATTGGACAGGGAAGGGTACGGATAGATGTTCTTACGGAGCATACGGAGTATACACAACACAGTACTTGGGAACATAGCAAATGCCCTGGAAGTAAGAAGACCCTCCGTGCCCTGTCTTCTTGACCCAACGCAACGGGCGGAGGATCCTCTCGCCGAAACGGCCGGGTCACGACTGGTTGGCCGGTCCGACCAGGTGGACATAGTCCCGAAGAGGAAAAGGAAGGGAAAACGCCAAAATGACGAACGAACTAGAGATTCATCGTCTTGACCAAGTTGGCGTCCAATCTTCCGCAAGTTTTATTTATGATTACTGATCAGGGTGCACTGACTCTACTTTGCGCAGAAACTCAAACGCAAACTCGCCGTCCAAATTGAGGAGAGAGAAAGCGTAGAGAAAAGCTTCCATTTCAATCCAAGCTTGACTTACTCATCTCAACATGTGAAGCAACTGTTTTTGCCTGGCTGATCTTGATCTATAGTTTACCTTTTCGCGTCACCAAGACCCCGAAAAGAGCTCGTCGTCGTGTGGGTACCGAGTACGTATTGCTGCTTTGTCCTCCTCCCCCATCATATTTTGGACACACGGCCGTGCCCCCGTCGCAAAAAAATGGTTGTTAGCACAGTCTTACCAAGACGAGCTTATCTCCGAAGATGTGCATTTGTGCAGCCCATCCAGATCTAGACAAGTATGGATACCAAGAAAGCACTTGTGGAGGGGCTGTGTTCGTGAAAGCCAAGCTTTCACTCGTTGCAGGGATGAGGGTCCGATCTGAAAGCCTCCTCAACCGAGCTACTGTGAACGCCAACGACCAAAGCCTCGGACTCTGATCTAGAACCACAGACACTTTGTCGCGACCAGATGGCACGTCCAGCTCCGAGAACGGGTCGCGTATTTCTTCGGCTCAATCCACTTCGACACTAGGCTGGCTCCGTAGGTCCGTAGGACTGTAGGGCGTGCTGGCAGTCAAGTGACTGTTGAAGAGACCAAGAAAAGGACCACGAATTTTCTGCCAAGTCGGTCGATGCGTCTTGTTTCATTCCTCTTTGGGCGCTCCTAGTACGGACTTACAAGCCCCCTCCATCCTTCAAAAATGGCTCAAAGTCCTCTTGATGGCCCTCGGAAAGGCCTCTCAGTTTCGCGGCAAGCTGAGAGCCAAGCTCATTATGTTCTTCTCTTTTATCGCGGTTCTAGGAAGGAAAGATCAACTTGTCTCCCAGGTCAAGTCTCAGCAGCTGGCCAAACCTTGTCTCTACAGGTTCAGCGACAAATCACAATACTCTCACCAGATATTACAAGTAGTCCGAAACATGAGATTCCGCGCTTTTGGGCCAAGTTGGTTGTCGTTGGTGACCTCCAGCGCGTTGTGATATTTCAGAAGAGAGTTTGTAATTTGTGTCCCTCTTGCTAATAGACAATTACGGGCTGGCAAGATGGCAGTTGTCAACTGCAAGAGCAAAGTTTCCAGGTCAGGAAATCGCCCATGTTTTTTAGTTCTT